TCGCTCGGTACTGCACTTCCTTTGACGATATCACTCTCCTTGCATCTCTCAGAGCAACTTCCTCTCCAAAGTCTCGCCATCTCCTCACCAACACATCCCTCAGTGTTCTTTGGCTTGAATGCTGGACTTCACCACGCAGAGTACCTTGCAAAATCGGTAGCGTATGTGCCGCGTTATTTTCCTTGCGGCTCGAGAAACTCTTCGACCAATCACAGTACGAGTAATCTGGAGCGAGAAATGTAAAAGTTGGCATTTTGAATCAGGCTGAAGATATGGTATAGCAATACTTCCTTTTTTTAAACTTTCATTTATATTTGCCTGTTGCTTATCCACGAACCGTACTGTCACCTCTTCCCATGGCCAAACCACTTAATAAGTCTCGTATCCTCGGGTTTTCCTTATAAACAACTATTTACTTTTTGCGCAGTCCTACAAAACTGCCAAGACGATTACGCCTAAAGGTTTGATCTGATCAGTACAAACAATGGCCATGGCGTCTTTTACAGCCAATCAACACGGCCAACAAAAACGACGTAAATACTAGTTGCAAAAACGCCCGAGAAAAAAAAAATCATGTCCACCAGAACGTTTAAAACATGCTGTCTGCTGTCGCTGTAGCATATATAAGCTGTATATAGGTGTTTAGTTTAAGATGATATTATATACACACAGAAGGGAAGAAATTTTGAACTTTGCATTATCCACCAGTTTTAAATGGGGTAATTCGATATGTTCATTTTTAGATTCACAGTCAAGTAATATCATAAATAAACACATAAACGGTACATGCTATTAGCTTAAGATAAACAATTCGGTCTCCATTCAGTTTCACGCACAAAAAAAGAAAAAAAAAAAGTACTAAACATGATGCACAAACCTGTTAATATACTACACTGCAGTCAATTAAGATCTAACGCCTGTAAAACGCCTTTTGCAGATTCCCAAGACCGTCTCATGAAACGTCTGTATGTCATTAATTAATTTATGTTAAAATTTTCCGCCATGTAACACGTTTAATTTCCGGGTTGTTTTGTATGGTTCTTACTCTGTGCTTTATGAAAAGGTGGAGAAATGGTTCGTGATCTGAGTTATAAAACCATTTGTAAACTTCCAAGTATGTAAAATGTTTGCATATAAAGGAAATACTTCATATGTACCTCCAATACTGCTCATAGACTCGATAATGCTCATAGATTTGATCATTTTATATAAATATAGGCAATAAACGCGTAACTGGCCGGCTGGAGCGATGCAAAAACCTTCGTCTTCATGAGCAAGAATGGTAATTACGAGATAATAAGGATAACAATAATAATCACAATTCGTTGTTAAATGTTTAAGCTTATTATACTGCAGTAAAGCTATATGGTCACTTTCCTATTATCGTCGGCATAAAGATAAACCTATGACTATCATCTGATGAGATTAAAGGGTTAAATGCTTAAAAAATATCCTGAACTTCGGGGTCATCCACTTTTTTCATCATTTTCATAAGCATACAAAAAGTATTTTTTCCCCAAGACCTCGCCCCAAAATGTACGTCATAAAGATAAAAAATAATGACTGCCAAAGGATCATCAGAGGCTAAAAGAAGGCATTGATACTGACAGGTTCTAGTGGGAAACCAATAATAGGTCACTTTGCATTGACCCATATAAGCCAATGAAGGGTGTCCTGTCTTTGCCGATGGGGCTTTCAGCATACAAATACAATTAAATCTAAAACATGAATGTGTTCAAGTGTTTCTGTATTGGATTTTTTTTTTAAATGTCACTTGTTGCACAACATGAAGGCAATAAAGATATTGTATTCTTTAACTATAACCGGATCGACATTTTTGTGTTCTAAAAAAAGTAAGCCAGAGATTATCCCTCTTCTCAAACCTTAGAGTAAGTTTTGTGCTCAGAAAATTTATGTAAAAAAAGGACGACCCCCTACACATTGAATGACACACTTGAAGCTGTGTATGTGCATACGCTTTCTGGCCTTCCTTATATTCCTAATACAAAATATACTAAAATATGATTATATAAACTATCAATATAGTATGCATACTGGAAAGCAAAATATCACACATTTCATGATGAAAATAGCTGAAACTAGTCAAGAGTACCCGTTTTTCTTGGAATTTCTAATTTAGGGCTCTCTCCAAGATCCGGCTGTGTTCACGTTGGTGGTGATGATGATGGCAATTTGATTATAATGAAGGTGAAGATGGTGAGTGATGTTAATGGTGATGATGATGATGAGGGATGGGAATAGTGACAATGATGATAATCCTGATATTATGATAATAAATATAATTATAATGAGGAATTATATTATAGGAAGGTAATATAGATAATTAGTAATGATAGTGATTTTAATAATAATAATAGTAGTAATAATAATAGGGTACATTTTCACCAGCATTCTTTTCCTTAGATCTTGTCACAACTTTTTCTCAGGTTTTCTATAAATTTCATAATCATTTCTCCAAAAGGTAAATTGAAAAACAAAATAAACTAATCATATATTTATTAAATAGTAAAATTACTCATACATTACTGGAAAATCGCAAAACATATAGAGAGAAAAAAAATCTCACATTACCAGAAGCTCATTAAAAAAATACACTTGTGCTCTTAACATGTGACTGTAAAATTATGACCAATTTTCCTGCAATGGATGGTTTTATTGCCACTATATGAGCTATACAACCAATTTGCTTGCTCTGAACTACAATTAATCATTATATCAATATAGTTCTTATTTCAATTTACAAAAAAAAGAAAAAAAGATATACAGTAAATAATATAAAAATAAGTAATAATAAAAAAAATAAGTAAACTATCAAATTAGTCACAACTTAAAACAAAAAATTTGGTATGGAGGTTAAGATCAATATTCTGAATATAAATACTTAAATAACTAAAAGATACCGAGTAAATCTACTCTACCAGTGAAGCAAGTGAAAAGTCACCAATTCACCGACTCATCACCTGTTAATGGATCCCATACAGTACTCCTCAGACCAGCCTCCCTGAATATATGACGGGAAGCCTCGTTTTATTCAAAACCACCTTTGGTAAACCCTACTATCGAGCGGAGAAGAATGTGCAATTACTTAATGTAAGTAAGCACCAAAGTAGAAGCCTAATGCATTCATAACTAATGCAGCTTAATAATGGCATTGCAAACATCTAAAAGCCTTGTTTTGATGCTTTATTTTATTTTATTTTTTGGTCTTATTGATATCTAAATTCAAAGTAATAAGTGTTGTTAAAAAACAAAAAAGGTATGGTAAGAATGTGTTGGTAAATTGTTCCTTAATTAACTGCCACAGCTATGGATGAAACAAGTTCACACAGGACTTGCTTTTATGTATAATTATTTTTCATTCTAGGCCACAACATTTGTTATAGCCTTCCAACTGCAGAAAAGAATCACTGCTCTTAAAAATGACAGTCAAGCTATTTCTGAGATTCTCAAAGGATGAATGTGTATTTCATTTGCTGGTAAAGAGAAATAAATTACAGGAACAGTTTCCTGAACCTTGGGTTAATCACAGATGCTAAATAATATTTGAACTCATGAATTTGTAAAGATTACAGGAACTTAATATGTTATTTAAGTTTACTATGAAAAGAATAACTTGGTCATTGCACAAAATATTTGTTTAACTTGGAATAGATTCTGAACACACAAAAGCAAAACTGTTTGCACAATCCAATTACTGTACTTAATTTGGCATATGAGATTTACACAGACATCAGTATACACACACATACAAAGGCATGCATACACATAACCACAAACACGTACCCTAACACATTACAGTGTATTCACATCTTAGAAAGAAAACAGCCAATTAAAAACTTTTCTATTCTCTTCCATTTCAAAACCAACCTTCATCATCAAGTTCTTTAAAACCAGAATATTGTAAGAAGTATCAAAATAAAACTACAAGTCATCTGAACAGGTACTGAGAAGATAACCTATTAGTAAGACTAGAAGAATACTTGGAAATATAGGAACCTTCTGGCTGTAGTCAAGAACTTGTTGATTTTAGTTGCCTTCTATGCAGTTATCAACCCTTTCCTGCAAAACAAGACCTATTTTATCTGCCCCTTTATGATCAAACTAACTCCTTGTAATTCATTTTATTGCTATGGAAAAAACGAGGAAAAAAAATGATAATTAGCTGCACATCACTTTAACAAACTGTATCTTGTGTTGTTTGTTATTTACTGACAACTTTAACATGTACAGTGACTAAATGCATCAATAAATAAAATGTTTAGTTTTTCCTCCATCATATTACAAGGATATGCAATTGGCCTTCCTTCCATCAGTGAGAGAACTTGGAAATCAACACAAAAATAGTAATAAGCGGGAAGACATAAAACCACGTTACTCATTCATCCACTGCCAAGAGAAGGTATTCCATGGATTCTTTATGTTAGCAAAAATATTTCTTATATCATAAAAGGTACAGTTTCCAATTTCTTTTCGTAATTATTCAAAATGATGAAAACTGGGCTCTATTTTCATTAGTCAAGATAATACAACCTATATATGAAAGGTACAACAGTTTAATATAAAGTACATTAAAAACAGGCATTTCCAATTTGATAATCAATATATCAAATGCAATCAGAAATTAGAAAACTTTCTAACTTCAGATAAGCCAGACATGCAAAAAAGGAAAACATTCAGATCTACCAGTTTATAATCACTTTGGTCGGCATTTAGCTCTCTTCTTTCGAAAAAATGACACACGCTCTTTCTTCCTGCTTTATACTTCAGTCTCACAATTACATCATCCCCTGCGGTAACTCCTTATGCAAAACACAAGGAGAGTATCATTTGTGAACAATTCGCTTTTACAATGATACAAATAACCTTCAATATCTTTAAAAAAAATTGTCAAACACTCAGCTTGGAACAGATCTCATTTTCATCATCGTACTTCATCTTCCCAAATCTAATACACTGAGAATAACCTCTTTACTCTAGTTTCAGAACCAATGAAGACTCTTAACACAACAAGGAAAAGTTCATCTCATAAAAATTACATAACCTCTTGTAAAATGCTTTTTAATTTCCTAAAAGGCACTGTAATATAAATGAATACAGACAATAATCTCTGCTTCAATATCACAGGATATCATCTATATATACTAACTTTAATGAAAAAGGACTGTCGACGCTTGATGAGTTTACGATTATTACAAGATCTGTTTCAAACCTATATGTAAATAAGTAATGTACAAATGAAATATTGCAAAGGAAATATTCCACTACAGAGAATTCATTTATGAATGTTTCATGATACCAAATATTCCATAATATTATCTCAGATACTCAATAATCAAAGTCATTATAAGTACATGGTAACTAGTATCTTGAACTCTGAATAGCAGCATACATCAACATTACCTCAAATTCTGAAAGATCTCTGAGTAATGAATAAAGGAAACTGACGTGAATAAGTGCTCCTGTTTCACTTCCAGTATTAGACAATTACGCCTTTTGTTGTCAGCAATTCTCTCCCCTTCAGTTATTCTTTAGGAAAGGATGGCAGGCATTCTTCTTTTTCTTCTTTCTTTCTTTGTTACTGTTATTCTGATGCTTTTAATCCCTTCCCTTAAAAAAAAAAAAAAAAAAAAAAAAAAAAAAAGTAACATGCAATAATTCCACATATAACATACAAGACAGTAATGTGAAACCTCTATTATGAAAGCAATATTCGCATTTCAAATCCCAACCTTATCTAAGTCATTCAACTATTAGCACCCAATTAAAATGCAAATTTTTACATAAACAAAAACAACCAATTGCTGAAATTTCCCTAAATAAAATGTGAATATACAGCTTAAAAAGGAAAAACAATAATAACACTGATAAAAATAATAACTGTGGTAATAATAATAATAACAGTACATCTGTGATAAATTAAGAACTAAAAAACAAAAGCAAAGCTTGATAAATTCGATGTGCATGAAAATGGAGAAAAATGCCTTCACTTCCAGCATTAATATTGGCACGTATTTGATCAAGCAAAACCAAGATATCTCTATACTAATTACAAGATTGTAATTTGCGACAAAAGACAAATGCAAGGTTTTGCGTGGACATCACATCACAAAATACTTATTGCCATAAACAGGACTTATTTATTATACATATTTGGTTTGTAAATATCTTCCAAAAATATATAAGCATATCATAAAATCTGAAATATGATCATCTTAAAAAAGGCTGTGATTACTATAATAATTCTGTTTCACTTTCACAAACTTCCTTAACATTCTGGATACCAGAAAAAAATAAATCATATTCTTAGAAGGAAGACCTGGATAATTTCCTTGTCGAATAAATGCATTTTCACTGTAGAGAAATATCACTATTGTATTTCCTATTGAGGTCATCCACAAACTCCCTCTTCAGAATCTTGACACATCTGAAAGGAAAGTAGATTTAATTAACAATACCTTTATGTAAGTAAACACTGTACATAATAAATATAGTGACAGAGCTCAGTGATAGAGTGCTGGCTCTCCAGGCCTTTCCTGGTCAATTCAGCTGTGTGTATTGGCACAAGCAGGAGGTTGTGGTCTAACTCTAATGGCAATGCATGAAGCAAGGCAAAATGGACATTTATGCTTAAACCAACTCAGCAAATCTAAATATACTAAATGACAGCAGACATCACACACACACACACACACACACACACACACACACACACACACACACACACACACACACACACACACACACACACACACACACACACACACACAAATTCTATATTTTACAACTGCAATATTTACAAGAAAAAATCCTAGTTGAATTGTTTATTACCTAAACTCTTCAGGGATGCGCATCCTACATTTTGGGACACTCGGATGAGTATGTAGAGGACACAAGGCAAGTTGTACCAATACTCCCAGAAGATACCAGAAAATGACCATGTTATTTTCCAGTTTTGTCATGTAGAGTTTGATCCATAGAGTCCAGAAAAGTGACTCACCTTTTCTGCACATTAGATTAGAGTACACACAGGAGTGTTTGTTTACAGCACTATTGTACTGCACGGATGCATTACCTTTGCATCAGACTCGCAGACTGAATGTCCTTAAGGGTTGAATATCGTTTCAACACAAAAGAATTGTAATGGATATTCAATCAGATCTACGTCAATATTTGCAGATATCCAATTGAAAATTTATAAACCTAATTAAGCAATATCTAATTACTTTTTCCCATAATCTGAAGTTCCTTGATTTTGTCATTCATTATCAAATATAAGACCCCAAACTAAATGCAGTACTATAGTAATGAGTCAAGCAGGCATGCCATTGCATCTCACTAGGACAGCAAATCATCATCAAGAGAATCGTTATATAATCTATCATTATCTTTATCATAAAGCTTACCATTTATAATACCATGAACAAAATACAACTAAAAATTTTCATATTCAATTCACAAGCAATATGTGCAAAATTGTATACATGCTCAGGAAGCCTATTTAAGGATATTTGGGTTTGTCTGCTAGTTGTGATTACATATGGAGTTTGTTAATCTCCTTCATTAAACATGTCAGTAATATTAAGCACATCACATCTGCAATATAAAAACTCTAAGGAATAAAACAAAGAAACTAATGTAAAAAAAAATCCTGAAGGTTATGACATTTCTTGCAATGCCACAAATATAAGAATAAAATTAACTGCTAGATAACTGAGAATCTCTGGTATGCAATACATAAATCATAAAAAAATAAAATAAATAAATAAATAAAATATTCACTACAAATATACAAAATATTCCTCTCAACATCCACTATCATTAAACAACAACGCACACCACTCTCACTCAGAATACAATCCATTCCACCTAAATACAAAAATACAAGAAGAATAAACCAAACTCACCTTTTGTACTGTGGAGATGTACGGAATTTGGCAATGTCAAGACTAGGGGCATGAGGCATGTGGACGATGAAGGAGTTTGGAAGGACAATGAAGTCGAAGCCCATCACGTGTAACTCCATGATATGTGACACCTGTTGAATGAATTGTCATAAACAAATGGAGTTGATTTATCTTTACAATTTATCTACAATCAATGTAATTCATACATACACATTTTTGGTGTATTTTATTTACACTTCAGACTTTGATCAAGTAAAAAAAAATCTAACAATGGATATTCATTTGATATGAATTGTACATGGGTCACATCTACAAAACAAATTACATAATAATTATCTTCAGAAGCTAGTTATGTTCTAAATAATGTATAGTAAGGGACTACTACAAAAGGCAATCTTCTCCACTTCCAATCATAATATATACATTATATGAAAAGGACACGAACTAAAAGACCTTATCCTTACCTTGTTCCATCCAAAACCTACAAATCGAGTGTCATATTCAGGAACATCTTTGCGTACAACAATGTAGGGTTCAAAATCCTGTTCCCAAGTCACCTGCAGATGAGATTTAAATAAATCTTAATATAATAATATTGAAATACTTTAAGATAGCCTAACCCAACATGATCTAAGGCATAATGAGGGTAGTAGGGGTGCTGTATAGTGCTTTCTGTCACCTAATTTCTTTTATAATTTATCAGGAGGAAGAAATCTGCCCAAATTGTCACCAGATTAGAGGACTGGACCCTCAACACCATTCCTTACGTATGGATATATTACCCTTTGATCATACTCATTCCTTATCATATTCAACCAGGTAGTTATTAAATTTTTGGTTCTGAGAGCCAACAATTTAAATCATCTACAATCTGCATTGAAAACATGATAACTGATTACTGCACCTAAAGGGAACAAATGGCATATCAAAAGCATTTACACTATATGTCACTAAATGTATTATTATAATTGTGGTAATGATGACGGTTATAATCCAGATAAATAAGTAAATGAGGAAGAAAAAATTACAATGTTTAATAAAGCATCTGCCCATTAACAAAATCCTTGCCTACTATAATAGCCACATTACATATCCAATATAGTCTAGTTATATTTGTCAATTGGTAGGCCCTATGTGACCTCATCTGATTTCACTATTCCTTGAATTTTGGGGGAAAGTGTTCTTTCGATTGCTATTAACCCTTTGCTAAGTTGTAATGCTCACAGTAGTTTTGTTTTGTAAAACATCTTTACACAGATGGGTCCACAAGTGCTCAGCCATCAAGTAGTCAATAAGTAGCCTATGTGTCCTTGCATGATTTCCTCTTTCCTTGAGTTCTTGGGGGCGGGGCAGGGGGGGGGGGGTCTAATGCTATCAACCCATTGAATTCAGCTGCTTCATGGTAATCACATGGACCAAAATACAGGCATTAGGTTTACATAATCGGCCACTCTGCTGGATGTGAGGTGCATCGGCTGTGCATGCTAACACACGTGTGCAGAGACAAGACTCTATGCCTACCCTTTGCAATGTTATTTTGCGTAAGTGCTTTTAGCTATATTGCCACTTTCTAATATACATATTTGTTTATTGAATCGCTTTATCCAGATGGTAATAAACTGTTTTCCTTGCACAAATTCCATATGAACTCTCTGTTTAGTAAATAACTCTGTGCAAGAAGAAAAAAAAAAAGTTACAGTTAATTATTTGTCTTTTTTTTTTTTGCAAGATTCAATTTTCTGTAATGCAACCTGCACTGAGCGTGGTATCCTCCCTGGAGCCACTCTCCAGTCATGGCACACAGACATTACATTCCACATTCGTTTATCAATGGGAATAATGCAAAAGCCCCTGTTCTAAACACCATAAGTGTGTAATCACCCTCCAAGAGGTTTGTGTACTCGTGGCAAGTCTAATGACGCCCAAGATTTTTCCCATGACAGTATGTTCACATTACTCATCCAATTTTTTTCATGAAGTGATGGTCACATCACCCTAGATCAAAGGAGGAGTCAGTTCGAATGCTGTTACTATCATTACTGACTCTATGATTACTATTATATTCTTAACAGTACTATAGGAAGAGAGAGAGAGAGAGAGAGAGAGAGAGAGAGAGAGAGAGAGAGAGAGAGAGAGAGAGAGAGAGAGAGAGAGAGAGAGAGAGAGAGAGAGAGAGAGAGAGAGAGGAGAGAGAGAGAGGAGAGTGAGAGAGAGAGAGAGAGAGAGAGAGAGAGTTGAGAGTGAGAGAAGAGAGAGAGGAGAGAGGAGAGAGAGAGAGAGAGAGACGAGAGAGAGGAGAGAGTGAGAGAAGAGAGAGATGAGGAGATGAGAGATGAGGAAGAAGAGAGAGAGGTGAGAGAGAGAGAGTGAGAGAGGAGAGAGAAGAGTGAGAGAGTGAGAGAGTGAGAGAGTGAGTGAGAGTGAGTTGAGAGTGAGTGAGTGAGTGAGTGAGTGAGTGTGAGTGAGTGAGTGAGTGAGTGAGTGAGTGAAGTGAGTGAGTGAGTGAGTGAGTGAGTGAGAGAGAGTGAGTGAGAGAGAGTGAGTGAGAGAGAGTGAGTGAGAGGAGTGAAGGAGAGAGAGAGAGTGATGAGTGAGAGAGAGTGAGTGAGAGAGAGAGCAGAGTGAGTGAGTGAGTGGTGAATGTGAGTGAAGTGAGTGAGTGAGTGAGTTGTGAAGTGAGTGAGTGAGTGAGTGAAGTGAGTGAGTGAGTGAGTGAGTGAGTGAGTGAGTGAGTGAGTGAGAGTGAGTGAGTGAGTGAGCGAGTGAGTGAGAGGTGAGTGAGTGAGAGAGAGAGAGAGAGAGTGAGACAGTAAGAGAGAGAGAGTGAGAGTAAGAGGAAGTGAGAGAGAGTGAGACAGTAAGAGAGTGAGAGAGAGTGAGAAGAGTAGAGAGTGAGACAGTAAGAGAGAGAGAGAGAGAGAGAGAGAGAGAGAGAGAGAGAGAGAGAGAGAGAGAGAGAGAGAGAGAGAGAGAGAGAGAAGAGAGAGAGAGAAGAGAGAGAAGAGAGAGAGAGAGAGAGAGAGAGAGTGTGAGAGTGTGAGAGTGAGTGTGAGTGTGAGTGTGTGTGAGTGTGAGAGTGGTGTGTGTGTGTGTGAGTGTGAGTGTGAGTGAGTGTGAGTGAGTGTGTGTGTGTGTGTTGTGTGTGTGTGTGTGTGTGTGTGTGTGTTGTGTGGTGTGTGTGTGTGTGTGTGTGTGTGTGTGTGTGTGTTAAACAGGTAAGATAGGTAGGACTAGTGATCAACTCCATTTTAACTGAGCATTTGTGGAGCAATCTACGTATAAATATCATTAATAAACTGAACTCCACTGTGGCCAGTGGGTGAAAGATAAATAACGCCCTTCACCAATGGCATGAGCACCAACGTCATCTCCATTAGATATTCTTACTACACCTAATACATTAAATATGGCACCGCACCAGCCTGAATATAATAGATTCTTTCATTAATACTTTAATTACTTCACTTTACATCAATTACTTTACTTTAAATGACTACAAAGATAAATCAACACCAATACAAAAAGTAAACTAACAAATCAAGGAACTAACTCCTCGAGCGGGAAAAAATCCAAGTTGAGGGTATATGCAATCACTGTTGATATTAAGAATTAAAGTACTATTACTAATAATAGAGGCAAACTCTGTGTGAGATGGAATAAAGGATTCCTTAACACAGATTCAAACTGACTCTTTCTAGTTCGCAACTAGGGAGATCGGAACTAAGCCATGCGATCAAAATGATTCAATTCTCTAGTAGTCGAGTTTGAATGTTTGTAAGGGGAGATTTCTACACTTCCAAACTTTGGCCTACCTTATACGGAGTGGTCGCAGTCCTCCACTTGGCAAAATTAGTTGGAGCGTGACCTTTTGTCCAAACGTGGTACCTTAAAATGGAAATATCAACTTCAGCCACATAAAAAATGAAACAAAGAAAAGACATTGAAACTGACCTGAATGGGGATAAACAATGCATTTTTAATCCATAAATTTCAGCCATGATCAACATGCCACCTAAATATTCATCACCTTACTCACCTGAATGTAAATAACTCTCCCATATCGAGTCTATTCAGGAGTTCTGCTTTACTGCGGGGAAATGAAAGACGATAGCGCTGTGTTTCAAAAGCCGGCACAATCCAAGCCTAGGGGGGAAAAACAGCCACAAACAGTTAGTTATAATCAGATTGCATATAGTTAGCTTTCTGGAATGGTGAATTAATTTCTTATACCTGAGATTCCTCTTTTAAAGCTACACTACAATTCTTACCAAATCTATATCACTTTCTCAATCTATCTATCTATATCTATAGCTCTTTCTAGGTCTCTCTCACTCAATTAATCCATCAATCAAAATATGTGACATTCACACACTTTCCTCAAAAGGTTTACATCCTTTATATACCTAATAAAAAACCATAAGGATCAAGTCAAGAGATTTAATGTTGTTCTGAATGGCTCATAGCATATGAAGTTCAGGTCAAAATTGAAAGGTAAAATATTCAAACAACAAAAATTATAAAGTTAGAAGCTTCTATTTTTTTATTATGATAAAATCCATTTCTAAGTGAATTTACATGTGGCCCATAATTTTTTGGAAAACTGATTTTGAGGAAAACTTTGTCACAGAATAAATGCTTATTGAGAAAGATAAAGAGATGACTAATTACCAAGATAAAATTAATGGCCACCTTTTCTCTTTCTTGAATTCTTTTGCTTAATCACATTTTATTTTCACAGTCACACCACACATTTTAAGGCATCATCTATCAGAGACTATTCGCAAGAACCTTAATCATCCAATCACAGCGGACAATGGTGGTGATCCGTATCAGTTGTTTTCCTTATTAGTAAATCAGTAAGAACAGTAGTCTATTAAATTTGCTAAAAAAATTCTATTTACCACTCAGACACATTGGCCTTATAACTTCCACAGTGGGATCTAGAACTATTCCAACCATACATACCCCATCATCTTCACAATACCTGTTACTATCACCAGACCTAAATCCCCTTATGAGCGACTTGTTGTGGTTACCATGCAAAGAGAACCATCATCCCTAACATCAGTATTACGTAACTGTACAAAGTAGTTACTTTTCAAAACCTACTTTCATTAAAAGGAAGATGCCTAGCATTCCAAAACATTTCCTTCTAAAAAATTTTCTTAGAGTAGGGTTTTTCCTACAACCTAATTTTCTTGAGTAGGGTTGTTACTTCCAGTTTCCGACTTGAAGATATTTCACAGCATTCAACTGCATGTGTCGATTTTTGGTCCATGAGTCTAATGAGAAGTCCAATATATTGTTATTTCTTACACAACATGCTAAGTGTGCAACTGAACAATGGAATTCAGAAATAATGATAATTAATATAAAATATGCAGTGAAATTTACCAAGATGTAATAACCACTTTCATATCTAGCATTAACTTTCAGTCTATATTCAGTGGAGTGATGGACAGCTTCTGTTCGTCCGGGAACTATGACAGCAAGAAATCAGCAAAAGACGATGGATAAATCACAATATATGGCTAGTGTAACCACAACTTTATCCAACCTCCTAACACAAGCCCCTGACTGTATATACAAATCATATATTTCAAACTCATTCAGAGTCCAGACATCAATATATTCCCCTCTCACTGCTTAATAATATAGAGCTAACACACTGAATTGTAAATAATAAATAAATAAATAAATAAATAAATAAATAAATAAATAAAAATAAAAAATTTAAAATATGGTGCCTTCATTATAATATCCTTACCTTCTTACTATCATCAGGATGTAGATTCTGTAGTGTTTTCCTTAAATATGAATATAACCCTAACATCGGAAGGAAGTCTATGTCTGTTAGGAAGACGTATGGAGTATTTACATGCTGCACTCCTACATTCCTTAGGAAGTTCACTGGATAAAAATTCTGGAAATAAATAGAGGCATTTGTAATATTTCAGTGTCTTTCTTCAACAATTATAAGCTTTAAATAAATTGTATAATGAATCAAGTACAAACTGTACAGATCTGGATCATTTTGTCTGTTCAAATATTCAAGTACATAAACATATATATATAAATACATCAATAATACTGAAATAGCAAGACAATACAATAATATAAAGATGACAATTCCACAACAGATTATATAAATCACACTTTATTTCCATCCACGCTCCCTAAAAAAATAATAATAAATTGGCCATCTGCACTGTAAAAGTCGACTTGTCTCTTTTCTTAGTACTTACATAGATGTGATCTAATAATCAGATCATCATCCTGGTTATTAGGAACAAAAAATCAAAACGGTACTATATCAACTGGAATTCCTTTTCCCGAGGTTAGACTACTACAATTATTACAGTTTGGAAGTTCAAAAAAAAAAAAAAATGTAACAAAAATAACTGCACAAATTTATATGTAGTGCAAATAACCAATAAATGGTTAAGGTAGATGACTGCTAATACATTTCATCGCTTGAAGGTGTGACAATAAACTATTAATCATTGAGAAACAAAAAATAAAATAAAATAAATAAATAAATTATGAACACAATTTGAAAAAGAAATATGATAATCAGCTTTACCTGTTTGTCTGTAAACATGATATAAACTTTATGGCATCATGAGGCAATGTTTACAATCAAGTTAAGACCACATAAAACAGATATACAAAATTCAAAAAGGAAAAATCTGAGGCTGTCAAACTCACCCCCTCCTTATAGACCACATGATATGCAACATTCTTCCGGCTTGCAATAATCTCTGAACTCTGTGTATACGACAGGAACTGCTGAGCCTCAGCATCAGACATGTATAGCGTGAGGCTCACAGGACCTGCAAAATGACATTAAAAATATAACTCACAAAATCTCTCCAATGCACTTCCTAAGATTTCCTTCTAAATATAAGGTGAGAGAAGAGTCGAAGAGAAAATCTTCAAAAGCTGATTGATGTTTGTTTGTTTGTAAGAACTAAGTATATGCATCAATGCTCAGGCCAAGATATAAGAAAGAACCTGAGAATCTGTTTTCCACGATGGAAATCTTGCTGACGTTCTTGAATGTCTGAGACTATAAGTGAAGTTTTGAAAATAATAAAACCCTCTTTGATTGGGGATTATATTAATATATTTTCTTTGTTTTACTATGTATCTTTGTGGAAAGAAATCTACAAAAGGGAAAATAAGTCCAGTAGTTTATATAGTGCTAGTGAATATAATATCATCGGACACAGAATGCCAAAATCAACATATCTTACCCTGGACATTCAGATACAGGCAATATATGCAATTTTTAATACTGGTTACAATTATCATATCTATTTCAGGATGTTACAAAAACATAAGTAAGAGCTTTTTCTACCTTATGCACTTGTGACTTCAACACCAATAATCAAAAGTTACTAGTTATTTTTCTCTAGTTACCCATAAAGATAGATTTGTCAGCATTTCCCTTTTGACTTGTAAACCAATATAAAATGTTCTGTCACCAACTGGAAAATCCATTAAAAAAACATATCTGGTCAGTGCCTCCTTAACGGCAACTTCCTTACTATCTTAACCATCCATCTGATTCACTACTTACAGCTAAAATATATAATTAAACTCATATCTCCTTTTTTTTTTTTTTTTGCAGGTTTACTCCTAAGTTAAAGAAAAATACGGACCACTCATTTGGGTATGAAAGTTCCTAATGATACTTCTACATGAAGACAAAGTCTATCAGATATCAACAATCTATCATGCCATTTAGAAGATTCTCATGAAGGAGTGTCCTCATAAACTATGTGTAATCAATGATATATCAGAATACAAAAAGTTAAGACTAGGTAAATACACAGGTACATAGGAAATTATGTAAGTTGTCTATAGGTCATTACAATCATATCTTTAAGCACGGTGAAGTTGTGATTAGAACTTTCATTCAAAGGTATAACGATATAGTGTGCCATCAGATATAATCCTGCGAGAAGTCGCAGAGAAAATATGGCAATTAAAAAGTGATGTAAGTTAACAATAATGTTTCATTTCAGCTACTAGACAAAGGATTAAAAATCAACTAATGCTGGAGATTTCCAGTGATTACATTAGCAAACTACTCCTCCCATTATTATTTCCAGACATTAAAAGCATATTCTTAATCTACTTTTAAGACCATTCAAAAAAAAATCTTACCATCCCAGTGTTTCAGTAACTGTTCCACCATCTGCAGACGATCCATGGACAATGTAGCCACGAGCGTCACATCAAAACCATCTGGTGTCGGATCATACTCGTTGTCGAGGAAGAACAAGTGTGTTCTGTAGTTTGTTTGCCTCGCACGACGGAATTCATAGCACTCATCTTCCTCATTCAGCTGAAAACAAGGATTAAATAAACAAATAAATATCAACAAGTACTACAAAACTTTCAGAATAACTATAATCAATCTACCGACATAAAATTATACATTATAATGCTTTCAGCACTTACCTGAGACAGAGGATTAGGCACAGTAATGGACCTTGAATGATTGCACCCAAACAGCTCCCGACGAAGAAGGTTGCCATCATACTCCAGGAAAGTAAGATGGAGGTTGCGGAAGAATTCGACATGCTTGTTTTTCACTTTTAATTTCTTTGGCGAGTTCCAGTGGATTGCCTGCAATGTAACACATTTTCTGATTTGGCAATATCAAGCAAAAATACCTATACACGTCAAGTATGCAGACTCAAATAATCAACATTCTCTATAAAAACTCCATTCTAAATCCACACCAAATCTCTTTACAAATGGGAAAGATCATTCTACATACCTTCAAATCTGTGACCTCCAAGTAACATAACTCGGACCTGGTGTTGTCAGATAATTGGACATTCCACTGGCAAGGGAGATTATACACAATTTCTGGATGTTGCTGAAAAACAAAATCCCATCAGAGCTTGCATCCCATCAAACACAATATTACCCAAACAAAACACAAACATGAATACGACCCTCCACAAACAAATACACACACAAAAATTTTTTTTTTATAAATTAATAAGAAATAATAATAAAACCATAAAAAACTGATAAAATATAAATTAATAATAAAACAAATAATAATAAAACCATCCACATGACCAACCTTAATGACAGCATTGATGATGTCTTGATCGGCCAGCTGCGTTGAGAAGAGCGTCGTCAGATCCCTCTCTGCTATCAGCTTCCATTTCTGGGACCAATTGCTTTGCCGCATGATGTCCAGGCGAATGAGGATCACGCCCGTGTTGTATCTGGAAAAAGGAAATTAGCTATGAATAGTATCTATTATGCGAACAGTGAGATGAATGATAATGATGATGATGATAGTAATGATGATGGTGATGGTGATGGTGATGGTGATAGTGATGGTGATGGTGCTGCTGCTGACAATGGCGATGGAGATGATAATGATGATGATGGCAGGAGGACGGAGAAAGTAGGTAAAAGAAGAGGAAGAGGAGTAGGGAGGAGAGAAGATTAGAAAGACCAAAAGGAAGAGGAATAAAAGGAGACAAAACAGAAGAGGAATAGGAGGATATGAGAATAAAACAAAGTAATTACTTAAAACACAGCTCAAAACCTACCCACGACCAAGCGCAGGCCAAGGACGATGTGATTTCCACAATTTGCCAAGATACCAATCACTCTGATTCTCCACCAGCCCAATATACTATAAAAAAAAACAGAGATTAATATCAACCCTTCTAAAATTCAAGTCACTATAGAAAGCAAACTATAAATATCATCAATCATATTATCATCCATTGGCTTTCACAAAAGATTTATCACAAGTCCATCAATCCGTTCACATCTGCCTACCTGCTTTGGTCCAAATTTTGAGAAGAGATTCCACAACTCAGCGATATCTGTGGCCACCGTTATATCAGTGTCTAAAACAATGACTTTCTTGAGTGCCTGTGGAAGAGCCTTGTTGAGGGTGAGTTTCATCAGGCCAAATACTCCGGAATAGTGTTTGTTGGGTACCCAGGACACGTCGGCAGCAAGGTTGTCCGTCAGGTAAAAGCTCACTTCAACTGTAAGGAGTGAAGTTGTCAATATATTAAGGGAATGAAGGAAGCAACATAACAGAAGTTCAGAGGAAGATAAGAGGGTTGTTTTGAAATCTTCCTGTATTTCATGACTAGGCCTGGCTTTTGTCTCCAAAATGTAAAAGGCTGTTCTTATCTTCAATAATCTTACTTGTCATATAGCCTCTTTTTCTGCTACCTCATTAACTAGGTAAAGTGATATCATCATTCACATACTGGGAATAATAGTCTTAGAAAGCAACTTGTAAGAAATAGTACCCAAGGATTTAGTACACATAATTTGCATATCCTTATTTCAGCCACATACATCACCAAAAAGAAGACTACAGAGACATGCTCTCTATATATATCCAGTGTAATGGATGGAATTAACAGCGTCTAATTGAGATATTAATAAAAACCCTTTGCTCCCTATATATGTACTAAAATGAGTAATACCTACCCCATAATCATATTCAATATTTTTTGGGAGAGGCAATCAGTTGCAATCCTCTACACATATCTATCTTGCATAAGAAAAAAAAAAAATCATCCCAAAACCATGTGCTTTCCGATTTCACCATTCAACACAAAATATCTTTCACTTTAAATTCCAATTCAAAGAAATTCACTCCGACTTACCATGAGGGACATTCCAAGAAGAAAAGAGTGCATGCAAGACTACTTGTGCTTTGGCATCTGCTACCATGTGGAAGTGCAATGGATTTCGGCGATAGAACAGAAGAGATTTGAGAAGGGTCACGACGGAGCGCGAGGAGTTGTAGCCCGCGCATACTATAGCTATATGAAGCACCTCGCATTTTGGCACACCGAATTCCTGGAAATCAACGAGCAGATGTTATTACACTGGATTCATGGTTAGTCGCAAAATAATTCCAAGACAACTAATCCTATGGTAAAGAAAACAACAAATAATAGTAGCAATTGTAATTCAAATAAAAATACAATTACCAATACTCATATTCATAATATAATTGATAATAAGAAAATGATTATCAATGATACTGACAATAATAAAAAGAGCAATAATAAAACAACATTAATAACAATTAATCATTTTCTGCAGAAGCAGTTTGTATTAGTATCAAAATCATTACCATTGGACATTTATATACTGTTATCAAAATCAGCAAAGAAATATCATTATGCAAATGTTTTAACCTATAAAAAAACAGATCATCTCTTGTATCAAGCTTACAGCTGCTCAGGAGATCCTCAAGCTACTAACCCCTTGCAGAGAGAAAGACAAATAATGACAGTAATAGTAAATAAAACAATAACATTAGCAAAAGATCATAATCACACGAATGACACCGATATTTACCTCGGTTTCGCCTTTAAAAAAACAAACCATACTTTGTTCTTCCTCACCTTTTCTTTGCACTTAGTAGCACCTTGTTCGCCTGTTCCTGTGCCTTCCCCTATCTTCTCTGCCCCATCCTCTCCCTCATTACCCCATGCCTGGATCAGCTGATTCTGGGAGATGCTCAGCTGTCTTCTCAACAGCTGATTCTGCTGCTCCATTTCCCTGACTCTCTCAGCCAGGCGCACTTCCCTCGGTGTGAGGCCCAGCACATTGGTTGGGTCTGAGCCTATAAGAGAGCGTTTGTGTATATTTATATATAGTATTGCTGAATTCTTAATTTCTGTACCTTGAGTTCTAGTAATGCAAATATTTCATCTGAATATCTTAATTATAATAATTTAGCAGTATCACCTATATGTATGAAAAGCCTATTCTGGATTTTATGTAGCTACAAATTATAAAGATGAAAACACAAATATCTTATGAAAATCTAAAATTTACCTCAAACTTTTAATTCTTCAATCATCATATTCAAAAGTTTTCTTTATGATTTTATCTATGAACTGTAGAGAACTATTAAAATTGCAACAAATTTACCATCGAGTTTGGTGAAGAGAGCAGCTGCAATTTCAATTCATAAAAGCATGGTATCTATGAACTGTAGAGAACTTTTAAAATTGCAACAAATTTACCATCGAGTTTGGTGAAGAGAGCAGC